GTTATTTCATTCTATGGCTAGGCATACTTCTTTGACCCATCGGTCTGTCAGGAAACACTAGGGTTGCTCCTGATTCTTGGCTGTGGAGTCACGTGGCTGTGTACATGGGTGTGCATTTCTCTAAGACCCTGCTTCCAGTGCTTTTGGATATCACAGCGTCATGCTGTTTTTAATGTTTTGGAGACAATGCTTTTGGATATGTAATGTATTTTAGGTCACAGCACCCTCCTGGTTTTAATGTTTCACATGACAGTCCACAAGGATTTCAGTTTTCGACATCCTCACTATCACTTTGTCTCAAAACAAAGGCTAGTGAGTGTCAGGAATAATTCATATCCAACATAAAGAGTTCAGAAGAAATGTGCATACAAAAGTTAATAAGGTTCATATCTTTTGTGGCTCAGGAGTATCCATTAATAACATTTTTAGATTTCCTTCTATGTAAGTGTGCATGCCTACACAACATATATACTCATCACACATTTATCACTGCATAATTTGAACAAAACTGTTACCCTCTCTCATTTTTTTTCTCATTTAACATTGGACCATGCATTTCCTGTGTCATTGAATATTGAAGTACAAGAGTTTTATGGTTCTATATAAGGATTTAATTATTTTCTGATTACTGCACATTATAATTCTAGTTCCTTCTCTTATATATAGCCCCTTAATGAAAATGAGAGGATAGAAATCCACATATTTTTGGCCATCTACTTTGTTTATATTCCTAGGGAAAGATTTTTAAGGGTAAAATTTCTTTTTTAAAGTCCTATAAATATGTTTCAGGCTACAAAATTATCTTCATTAAGTCTGCTCTGATCTCTCCCATCAACTGTGTGGGCTACCATTGTCGCCTGGCAGTGAGCATTACCGAAGAAGACTTCTCTAAGTCATTTTGGAAAATCTTTTCCAATAACATAGGTAAAAATGATTTTACCTTTAATAGATGCATTTTTCTGATTATCAATGAAAATATGTAGCTCTCAGTATTTATTATTCTTTCAAGAATTCAAGGTATTTAATAATTTATGTGACCAGGAAATGGCATGTTGAATTTTTAGAATTATAAATATTTTCATAGAGAAAGGATGTGAGCCTGCTAATCTTAACCTTTAAGAAAATGTGACACGCTCAAAGTTAATGCTAGAGTGGTGTGGTGTTCTTGATGGCTTCCTTGGTATGTAAGATCTGTGGACACTAGTCAGTGACAACTGCTCAGAATATAAATATTTGGGGGAAAAAAGGAAGCATGCTGTAATCTTAAGAATAAGTCCCTTTGATCTAAAAATCCAGTTTACTAATTATTGACTTAGTAGGAATTATCCATTCTCAAGTGGTAAATAAGGTTTGGCTTACTGAAAGATAAAGAGGTGGTTTTATACAAAAACTGAAAAGCACTGGTAGGATTATAAAGATAGAGATTTGAATGGGGAGCGGCCAAGTGGGGAGTGGGCCGTCAGTCGGTCTGTAGCCGGGAGAGTAGAGTCCAGAGTTCTCAATGTCCTTGTCCTCTAGCATTTTGTTTCTACAAGTCAGAAGTCCCGGGTACCTCTGTGCACTGGTGGGTAGTCTTCATTTTCTTTTTTTCTTTCTTGGAAGAAGGAGACACGTTGAGTTCATGAAGTACTGAAGCCCTACTTACTGCCTTGTGTCATCTTTGAAAAAAAACGTAGATCATTTTGCTGAAAGTTACAGTTTGTTGGAGTAGATGCAGCTTGTCACTATTAAGATAAATAGAGTATTTTTTCCCCAAAACAAAACCATATGCCTTAGTTCAGAGAGAATAAGGATGTCTTTGAACAGCATAGTATTTGTTTGGAGTCAGAGTCTACAGATAACGTTTGTAAGAAGAATGGTTTAGTTCATCCCAAATAGAGAAAAGCAAGGATTCTGGTCTTGAAGTGGCACGTAATCCTGTGGTCTACTTAAAAATGATTATCTTAATTTTGCATTGTATGTGTTGCTAGTTCAGGAGTCAGAGAACAGGTGAAAACTCTCATCCTCCTCGATATTTTAAAAACAGTATATTGAAGAAGAAAAGCAGTAAGTGCTTATATAGCCGCTAATAGAAGCCGAATGTAATTCTTCCCCTTTTAGTCAATGCTTCATGCTTCTTCTCAGAGATGTTATCTTCAAACCTTCATGCACAGGCTACTTTACATAAAGGAGTCTATGTTCTTTTACAACTTTTTTCCTACTTAATATGCATTTTGATTATTTTCATATCTGCACATTTAGATCCATTCCATCCATGGCTACATAGTTTTCAATTGTGTGTAGGACTAGAATTTCTTCACCTTTTCCCTTAAGATTGATTAGTTAATTGATTTTAAATTTGCTTTTGTGTTGCAGTTAATATGTAACGCTGAAGCGAAATCCTGCACATGCTTGGTGTGCAGTTCTAAATATAATATTGTATCAAGGTCTGTATTTAATGATGGGCTGCCCAGTTTACTGTCTGAGTTGGGGAAGGGGTGGGTTTTCTTTCTTCATGGCGGGTGTTTTAGTCACCATGTATCCAGGCATCAGTAATATTTCACGTTGACAGAGCACTTTGATGTTTTCACAGACTACTGTTCATTACCTCATTTGCTTCCTAGAAACTGGTCGATGTGTGGATTAGTTTTATTACCTGTGCTTGACCATGAGGCCTAAGGCACAGAGTGACTCCTGGCTTATCCATTCCTTGACTGTGACTGGGTCTCCTCATTCCAGGCCCAGCTTTTAAATGATTCAGGGCCTTGGTAATTATGGGTGCACTGATAATAAATGTTCTGGTTCAATGAGACTCTTTCCTCTGTCTTTCCTTTTCCCTGCTTCCAAATTGTTTGCTTCTAATTCAAGAAATCTTCAAGTTTGATAATTTTTCCTGCTTGGGTATCCTTTATCTAAAATACTTGGGAGGAAAAGTGTTTAGGTGTCCAGTTTTTAATTAAGAAATATTTCTGTATATAATAAAGAGATACTCTGGGAACAGGACATAAGTGTGACATGAAATTCACTTAGTTAAGGTATATTTTTTACACAGAGCCAGAAGGTAATTTTGTACAATACTCTTAGTACATTGTGTTTTGACTATGGCCTATCATATGAGGTCCAGGTAGACTCTGGGGCATCTTGATGGCTTACAAAATGTTTTCAGATTTTAGAATATTTTAGATTATGGATTTTCAGATTAGAAAAGGTCAACTTATAATATGCTTTCCATTAGGAAATTGTTTTCTGTTAATACATTCAGACTTTTGATTTAAGAGGATAAGATGGTACTTCTGTGGACTTTGTACCAGTCTTACAACGCTTAGCTAATTCTCACAGCCATAGATTCTGACGTTCTAGAGAGGGAGACCCCCTCAGAACCCAGAACCCAGAAGCTAACAGTACTGTTGGCCTCATGCTGACTCAGTGGGGGACTCAGAGATGCTGTCTAGACAGAGACCAAAGACAGGAGAGAATTGAGATGTGAAATGTCTCTTTTCTGACTCTGGTTATGTGCTACCAAATGTCCCACCTTGCCTATTTTAGATTGCCCAACTCTTGCTAAAAGTATAGTATTTTTTGAGGCGGAATTTCTTTCATTCTAAGACTTTTTTTTACATTAGCCAATTTATCCTAATATCACCGAACTGTTTATATTCCCCCCCCCCCCATTACACTTACTTGATAAAGAGAAGTGGCAGGAAGGCAAGGGAAAGACTTTGGAAGGAGCAGCATAACAGAGGAAGCATAGCAGGCCCCGAGTCCTCTTTGCAGTATCTCTTGAAGGGTTGTGATAATTAGCACCATGCATGGGTAGTCCCATCATATATAATGTTTTTGGGATCAAACAATACTTTTATGATAGATCACATGCCTCATGGGAATGGAGAATGTGAGTGAGGCATCAGCTATGGGAAGACCCCTTGCTTTGCTGCCACTGTGTTAGATGGATACGTGGAATTAATCATCTCTACTGTCTGTAACACAAAATGAGTTACAGAGCCACGGAGTTCAAATGATTCATACTTCTTAATGTTTTCCTCTTAGTCAGGCTCAGCTGACTGCAGGGTTTTCACCATCGGAAGCCAGAGACATGTTCTTCACTGTGTGGCGGCTGTAGTCGCAGACATTTTCTTCATGTCTAGCGGGTGCTTTGCATGTTACATAGTTTTTACATGTAAGTGTACATATTTTTTGAGTTGAAAGTATAGCATTTTAAAGCTTACATTGTTTTTACTATCCACAATTGGCATAGAATGAAAATCCTGATTGTGATGATTTTGTGCTTTGGGAAAATTGTTGAAAATTTCTAAGCCCCACATTTTTTAAAGTTATCGATGGAAGGTCTTTAAACTGATCATGATGATGTTTATGGCACATGGGTTTCTCTCTCACTTTTGTATTTATATGGTTATTTATTAAAATGGTTTTTAAACAGTGGTAATTGCTATTTAACAGGTTTACAGACAAGGGTTAAACATGAGAGCAACTATAAACTTCCTTTAGAAACTTCCAGCACCAGGCAGCTGCTCAAAATCACTTATAAATATTATTCCCATGATTGTTAAGTTCCAGAATTATAAAGAAAATTTTAGAACTCCAGGTCTGAGTGGGTTTTAGTTGTGTTTGTTGGTGTTGTGTTATGCCTGTGGGTGACATTTGGAAAAGGAAGGAGATAAGAGGAAACGTTTGTTTACCACATATTTTTATAGTTTTCAAATGCAATTTTCAGTGCCCACTTTGTGCCAGGGACCCTAGGCAATGACAGTGTTTCAGAGGTCAGCATGGGCTGAGGAGGAAGCTGACAGTGTAGTGAGGCATTCCTCAAGAACAGTAGTTATGAAGATGCAGATTTCTTTGACTATGCTGGGATGCGCATATGGGCATACTCTTGGGGAAGGTTTACTAGATGGAGATGTTTGGGCTCAGGGTGAGGTGGGCTGGTAGACAGCAAAGGTATCCAGGCTACTCGGGCTCCGAGAGAGGCTTTGGCATAGAGACTGGGTCATCACAGACCGTCGATGGGGTGAGCAGTGAGTCAGGGTCCAGAGTCAACACCCAGTTTTGAGGGCAGGGCGGTGGCGCGATCACTCAGCTTTAGCGCTGGACTACTCACTGGCTTGACTGCAACAAAATACAGGAGGCAGCTAAGTTTCGATAAGGAAAAGTTTATTTAGTTTACAGTTTTGTATGTTCCAACCCCCAAACAGGCAGTGCTATCAGTATGGTCTCTCTTGTGAGGTTGGTGTGCCATGCATGGTAGGAGCATACAGAGAAACCAAATGCTTCCATCCTGAACCAGAGCAGAGAGAAGAAACCTGTTAATGCTTCCAGTGCTCTTTGAAGGGATTGCCGGCAATGACTGAAGGGTCGCTCTTTCCAAAGTTCCACCACTCCCAGTAGCACCACACTGGGGACCAAATCCTTAACATGTGGACCTAAGGGGAGCATTCTATTTATACTCAGACCATAGTAGAAAAGAAGGAGCATTTGGCTGTGGCAGAAAGAAGAGCTAGGGGACATATTAGGATGTCTCCAGGGGTCTTACAGGGAACCAGTGGTGGTTGTGGGTAAAGAGGTGCCAGTGGAGGGGAGAGCTGACACAACTGACCTGTGTTTGGCCTAGAGATGGACTGAATGCTATGGTGGGCAGTAATAGGGTAGGCAATGGTGGATTCCAGTTGAAGCCTGGTGCCTGGCAGTTTGATACCCACAGACACAGGCAGCAGAGCTGGCAGAGACCAGTTAGGGTGGCGAGCTATGTGTTATGCTTGACCTTGTGAACCTATCATGTCAGGGGGAATCAGAACTTTAGAAAGTCATGGGGGTAGCTGGGTAGTTGAATCTGGGCATGATGAGGCGATCCAGGTGTATCCTGAGCCTTATAAGGCATCCACATGAAGATGGCACCTGAAAATGAGCAATGATTGATATTGGTCAGTATAGACCTAATTTCCCTCCCACCCAGTTGCTCAGTCGTTAAGTCCCAAAGAAACACAGAGGCTTATATTAGTTATAAACTGTTTGGCCTATTAGCTTAGGCTTGTTATTAACTAGCTCTTACAACTTAAGTTAACCCATGATTCTTATCTGTGTTTAGCCACGTGGCTTGGTACCTTTTCTCAGTAAGGCGTTCTCATCTTGCTTCCTCTACTTCTGGATGACAACTGCATCTCTTCCTTTCTTTGTCCCAGAATTCTCCTAGTCTGGTTGCCCCACCTATAATTCCTGCCTGGCTACTGGCCAATCAACATTTTATTAAACTAATACGAGTGACACATCTTTACAGTATACAAGAGCATTATCTCACAACAGGTTAGAAAGACTGTCATGGAAGGAGAGATCTAATCTAGATGGAGGTTTCATTTCAAGCCCTGGGAAGCAGAAGGGACTTAGGAGTTCTCAGTACCTCGGGGTTCAGGGAAGGACACCAGGCCAAGACAGTGTTAGCAGTGAGGAGGAAATGAAGATGGTCATGGATTGGTCCTGCAGGGAAAGTTACCTGTAAACGGCAGAGGAAACCGAGCATTGGGGAGAGCCAGCAAATGTAGAAAGCTCTGCCCCAAACTGGCAGACAGGGAAGAGCAGCATGAGAGGAGCCATCAAAACACCAAGACCATGAGAAAACAGGGGGAAAGTAGTGCTAAGTCAGTCTATGGAAAGTGGGGGCGGGGCAGGGCGGGGAGGAGCTAAGTAGAGGCTGAAGTAGGTGAGAAGGGGATCACAGGACACAAAGCAGAAGGAGCATCTGCCCGGTTTGGCAGATGCTCTGCACACAAGGAGCTGAGCCTTTGCTTTGTATCTCTGTCCAGCTTTGTGATGATCACAACATCATCTCTCAGGGAATGTTATTTGTTCTCCGCCGGGGCCCGAGGGCATTACAAAAATTTCACCTTATTCTTCCTTGCCCTGTTGATCTACTAAGGTTTCCAGTTAAGCTGATGAACTTTCCTGAACCAAAACAGAGCCTTCCCCCACTTTCCTGTAACAACAATTATTCGCGTAGTTCCCAGCCATGTTTTCCGTGTGGAAGATCCCAACTGTTGTTCTGTTAGGCTGACTATATTACCCGACGGTATCTGGGCCTATGTGTATCCTTTTTAAAGCTGGCTGTGCTTGATTTCCTCCTGGCCGTCAACTAGTTCTGCACCTGACAGGTAAATTAATTCAGTGCCACAGCTAGAAGTAGCCCGAATTGATTCATTCCCTTGTAGAAAGCCACTTTCCACCAGTTGGTGGTTCTGGGCAGACAAGTTGAAGGGTTGGATTCAAGAGAGCACAGCCCCTTCCTTAAAACTCAGTATTTCCAGGTCTGTGCCCAGATGCCCGATCTCCTTGTAGTATCAGCTTGGCCTAAGCTAAAACCTAAGGCACAAGCTCATGACCCAGAGTGGCCAAGGCAGTGAATGTGTGGGCAAGCATCTTGGCTGAAACACAGGCATGCTGTAAAACGTGACACATCTGTAAATGACTCTTAAACTTCCCAGAAGCTGAAATTGAGAAACATGCTGTAAAGGGAAGATGAAATTTAACTGAGCATTTGCTGGAGGAAAAATGATTTATTGGCTCTAACATGCGCAGCCCTGAGAGGAAGCATCTTCCTCCACCCTCCTCCACTTGGGTCCCAGTGATTGATAGCAACTCTGTGCTGCTGCCAGGGCGGGAACTCTTGGAAATAGCATAGTAGGGACTTTGCAAGTGAGTCCCATTTGGCTAAGTTACTGCTTTTGTGAGGTTTGCTGCATCTTTATATTCTACCAAGGAGAAGATGGTAAATCAGAGTAATTGCTTCATCCCAAGGCACTTTTACACTGTGAAGGAAGAAGGTCCTGTTAAGAAACTCAAATTAACTTCTGCTGGTTAGACTATATGGAAAGCCTCTTTGAAAGCTGCTTGTCACCCAGCTTGGCAGTTTATTTATCATGGAACAATTCCATTAGCGCCTGACACTTGTTCTCCTGGCATGGGGGCTTAGGCTCCCTCAGGAAAAACATTTAACCCTTGGAAATGCAAAGCTGTCATTTATCTGTCATCTCTCGCTCTCAAAATTCACTGGAGGATATTTACGAGAGAGATTTGAAAGTCTTCATTTCCAGGGAGATAGGATGGCGTTTGGACCCAGAAAATGATCAGTAAAAACTTGGTATAAGGTGTTTCCTTCCAGGTTGCAGCAGCAGCTCTGCTGTGCTAGTTACAAAATACTCTCATTATGGTATTATATAATTTCTAAGGAATTCCACATCCAGAATTCCACCTTAAGGATGGGATAATCTAGGGAAATGGGTTTAAATTAAAGCTATTGAAATGTGAGGATGTTCAGGGACAGGATATTCTATCATTGTTAGTGTTTTTTCACTGGAGGTGATTATGACAGGTTTTTGGGTTTTTTTTGGGGGGGGGAATGTTTCTTTTTTTCCCTGCAGAATTTGTAAAATTGTATCAATCAAGAGGCAGACCTAAAAGAATGAGCAGAAATTTCACTATTTGAAAATTAACACCCCTCAGCTTGGCATTTGCTAACAAAGGATGGGGGCACCATTTGTCAAAGCTTGTCAGGGGGCTGTCCCCAGGGAGGCAGAGCAATGGAGTCTAGGAATTCTACGTCTGGTGCCAGACTGCCGGGCTTCTAACTGCAGAGCTGCTCCTGGCTGCCCGTGGGATGGGGCAAGTTAGTTAACCTCAGAGCCTCTTGTTTTCTTCATTGGAAAATGAGGATAATGGCTCTTGGGAGTTTCAAGATTATTAAATGAAATAATTCATGTGAAGTCCATTTGGAGTAGCTGTTGTTATTGGAAAATTTAATACAAGTCAGATGTGTCTGGGAAGATTGCATACATCACCTTCAAATTTACTTGGGATATTTGTGGGTGGTTTCTCTAGGTGTGATGTTACAGTTACCCCCCAAAATACGGTATTGAGGTGACTCAGGTGTGGAATGCCTTCGGCTTCATTGCTTTTCTGCAAGAGCAGTCAGAGGACCGAAGGCTGAGGTCTGTAAATGCTCTCAGAAGATTCCCTCCAGACTGAAGATAATAAGATGGAGGTAATCTTTGCGGTTGGAGACAAGCAAGGAAGAGGGGATATACACTTCCAGGCTGATGCAGGCAGCTTGCATAAGGCCGGCAAGCAGAAAGAACATGGGAGCTGAAATTGCTTTACTCAAAAAGGAAAAGCCAGGATAAGTGAGCAGAGACACAGGGATGCTCTTGGGGGACTTAGGGGACTGCTGTGCACGTTAATGAGTGGTTTGCACTCCTTAGCCGGCATGTGAGCCCTGCCACCGTCACCTTGGTTACTTCCCTCACCAGCTCCCTCACGCTTGTAGCTGTCATTGTCACCACCAGTCCTATCACGTCCTCTCATTCCTTACCATCGTCACCGTTGTCGGTCCTCGCCACCGCCACCAGCCTCCACCGCACCACACACCCACGTCACCCTGCTCTAACTGATAATTCCAAGTCACGGTCAGTCCATCATTGTGGGAAAGAGTGCCGAGGTGAGAACTCAAATCACTAGTTCTACCAAACATACCGTCTAACGCAGAGAGAGAACAGACTCTTCCTTTCTTCTTTATTGGATTTTTCTACTCTCACCAGGACCCAGCCTGTGAAATGGTGCTGCTCACAGTGGGCTGGGTCTTTCTACATCAATTAATAAGCAAGACAACCCCCACCCCTGCAGACATGCCCACAGGCCAGCTTGATCTAAATAATCCCCCACTTTAAAACCCTCTTCCCAAGAGATTCTAGGTTGCATCAAAATTAATAAGCACACACTCCTATGACCTTCGCCACCCATCCCCTCAACAGGCCTTCCGCCCCTCACCACCATCACTTCACTGATGTTACTGCCCTCATTACCAGCCTCACCAGCATCCTCATAAGCCCGGTCCAGAGCCTTAAGGGGCTGCAGCTGGGAGACTGTCTTTTTACCAAACTGGAGCTCCTACCCACCTTGCCTCTCACCTGTTTAATGGCTTCTCTCACCTGTTTAATCCCGGCTGCCTTTCTGTCCAGCACCTCTATAGATGGAGGGGATTTACAAGTAACATTTTGACTGCCTTGCTTTTCTCTCTTTGGAGACAGGATTACTGATCTTTTAATGTTTGCTTTATAAATAACAAAAGATGGTAATTAGTTTGACTCATTAAATCTAAAACAATTGTTATAAATTTGGAGTGTTTGATTAGATTCCTTAAATTATACAGTGTCTGATGTTGCCAGCTGAGAGCAGCAGTCTGTGAGGCACAGTCTTCTCCTCGCCACCCATTGCTTTCCTTCTCCCTCCTGGTGTCCATGCCTCTGTCGGTGTGTTGGCCAAGAACTGAAAAACGGTCCGTGAAGCAGGCTACTCAGCCATCTTTGATGGAGAGTGTAAGAAGGGGAGAGTGTTGGCAGGGCTTTTCACCCTCTGCTTTGGGGAAGGGACCAGAGAAGCCCACTGTGAAGGAAGCAATAATGGCAGGCTAGCAGCGGGCAAACAAGGGCATGACGTTCTGAAAATAGAATTCTAGCTAAGGAAGTCAGGTTGTTTGCCAAGGGCAAAGGTCACCTCCCCGAACTCATAAAGTCAATCAGCAGCAATCTGTGTCTCTGTACCACTGGATGGTTCTTCTTCTTCCCAACCCTCTCCTAGGCCCAGCCCAGAGCTGATCTACATCCCAATCCCACCCCAGTCTGTGTTGTCATTTCCAGTGCCTGGAAGACCTGGTACTCACACTGCTGATGAATGAGCTCCTTCTCCTTTCTCTCCTCTTTCTGAGACAGCTTCTCAGCAGTAGGGGGGATTGGTCATATCCCTGATTGTCTCCCTCACTTCTGGGATTTAGGAATTGATTATGGACTAAGCCATATTTCTGGTATTTGAAAGGAGCCTTTTAAACTTATGGTTAGCAGGCCAGCATTTTCTACAGGACAGGAGATGGCCACTCTCATCTCTTAAACTCAGCTCTTGTCTCGTCCCTGATGTGATTAGGATATGGTTTGAGTAAATTCCCCAGAGGTCCCCATGATGGAAGCATGGTCTCCAGCTTGGTGGTATTGAGGGGCTGGAACTTTGAGAAAGTAGGGTCTGGTCTAGATGGTCACTGTTGAAAGGGGCTATATGCTTCTCTAGACTCTGGTTAGTTCCAAGAGGGAGCTGCTGCAGAAGTGGGCCTGGGTGGTAAGGCCTCTGGCTCTCACTGTTGTACGCACTCCATATGATGCCATCTACTATGCTGTCATGTAGCCAGAAGGCCTTCGCTGATGATTAAATAGATGCGGCCCCTTGACCTTGGACTTTCAGCCTCCCAAACTAAATGAACCTCATTTCTTCATAAGGTACATGGCCTCAGGTATATTGTTATAACAACAGAAAATGATGGATGCAGAACCCCAACTCTGGAGACTTACCAGAAGTTAGGACGATTTTCGTATAAAGGATAAAACATGATTCCAGTCAAGGGCTGAAGTTGGCTCCATACACCCTTTGCTGACAGCCGCCTCCATGGGAAATGACAGTTTATTTGGAATGAGCGTTCCTATGTGGGTGGGCTGCACATGAGTGAGTACATCAGGGAGGAGGCAGCTCTTCCTGGCCAGCTGAGTCCTCTAGGTCAAGCACTGGGCTCAGCTGGCGTTGTGGGCTGCACTCATCAGCTCCCTTTCTTCCGTGGAGGGCAGCGTAGAGAGACTGGGGGAGGCTAATGAGTGGGCAGCATTCTGACGACATTGACGATGCCATCAGCCTAGTTAGCACTGTTTACAGTCTGTAATTTTGTTGTTTGTCTGTGCTGTAGTTCTAGGTTGTGTGGTAATCCGTGTGTGTGTGTGTGTGTGTGTGTGTGTGTGTGTGTGTGTGCGCGTGTAGTGGGAAAAGATAATTTTCTGTTGTTTGGAAACTGTAAGAGAAATTATAACTGCTACCATACTTTTCTTCATTGTACTTTTTGCATGGGAAATAGCTCCTTTTTGTTTCATCTGTTCTGTTTGCTTCTGTGAGGCCTGTGTTTGTTGTTCATTCAGCCTCGTCTTTTATGGACATGGCCTTTAGAAAGCTCAGCTATCTCTTGGTTTGTGGGCAGCTCCTCATCTCTTGGGAGATAGGAATAAAATATTTTGAGAGTCCAAAACACTTGTCTCTCTCGCACGATCTTCTTTTACAACTTATTTTCTGAAATAACGACATCTTGAAATTTGCAGGCAAATGGATGGAGCTAGAAAACATCATATTGAGTGAGGTAACCCAGACCCAGAAAGACAATTATCATATGTACTCACTCATAGTAGTTTTTAAACATAGAAAACCAACCTACAATTCACAATCCCAGAGAACCTAGACAACAATGAGGACCCTAAGAGAGACATACATGCATCTGATCTACATGGAAAGTAGAAGAAGACAAGATCTCCTGAGTAAATTTGGAGCATGGGGACCATGAGAAAGGATTGAAAGGGAGAGGAGAGGCAGAGAAAAATGTAGAGCTCAGTAAAAATCAATAAAAAAACCTACCAAAAAACCTCCATATTTTTGATGGTCTAACTCTTATCCTAAGTTCCTTGCTTTGTTTTGTTTTATTTGTTTGAGATAGGTCTCACATCCTCTTGTTCCTACCTTCCAGGGATTGGGGTTATGAACATGTGTGACCATGATGGAGAGGCCTTCATTTTGAAAGATTAGTCTAGTAATAATATCACCCCTCTCTATCCGTGTCTAACTGATATTGTAAGGACACTTAATGGGCATATGGACAGTTGTTTGTTTTCCTCAGCAAAAGGAAGAAGCGGCCAGGTTCACAAACATTGTTGCTTAGTTCATGTCCTTGCCTTGCAGTTAGTAATAGATTAGCTTTGGAGATGATGGTGCTTTCTTGTCTGGATGTTTCCTGTTATATACCGTGACTGGCTTTGGCTTGAGCCCTGCATGGGACTTAACTTGAAAGATCAAAATCAAGTAAATGAAGAATAATCAAAAATATTTTTATTAAAGTTTTTATTTTTTTAAAAACCTAAAAATAAGTCTTTTAGAAGGAGTTGATTTCAAGGATTCATTTTTCTGGGTTTGCTATGCATTTGTAATAAATAATAAATAACATTATGGTAGTTGACTACCACACTTCTGTGCAAAATAAATAAATGCATTTGGTGATCTACATTTGAGGAATATGATTCTTGTAATTTTTATGGAAACAAGGAAAAACTTAACAGTTGATAGAGATTTTACCATCTGTTAGCCGGGAAGAAACAGCGTGGCATTTACTAACTTTAACAGGTACACCAGCCTGCCAGGAACGAGGATTATCTCAAACTCGTCCCTCATCCCCAGGAAGCTGACCCAGCTTTGCACCTGGAGGGAAATGGCTTCTTTGCTACTAAAGCAGATGGCATAGGCTTCACATTGCTCCAGAGGCATGGGAGCGAGGGGTGGGAGCTGCTCTTTCATGGTGAGAAATGAAGAGAACGGCCCTGTGCTGGCTGCTGCAGGCCTGCGCGTCTGCGCAGGTTCTTCCTGTAATTACTGCAGAGGTGGATTTAGTCAAGCAGCTACTGCCTGTGTGAGCATTGGTGGGAAGGTGAAGGTAAAGACATCCAGGGAGAGATGGAAATTGGGAAGTCTTGCCTTTCTCTGAGAGTGTCATTTGCCGTAAGCAGCTGATATTTTTGCTCCTCAGGCCTGACACAGCACAGGAGGGCTGTGGTTCTTAACTAGGCGGATGGGTGTGTCACCTTTGAAAAAGCCTCTGCTCGTGGAGGCTACAGAGCTCCTTGAAGCACAGACCGAAGAAAAGGCACTGGGAAGCCGGGCTTCCTTTTTGTGCTTCCTTTACTCTCCTTTGACGAGTGAGAGAGATCCTGCACTGGGTCACGTGATGCACAGCATCGGCCTTTTGATGGCTTGTGGAAGGATGGCAGGTGCATTTCTTCTGTCCTAAGGGTGTTCGGTCCTTTCTGTCAGAAGCCATAGTCTGGTCATACAGGCGGAACCACATAGGACACTTTAGTCTAGCCGTGGACTGCATTTTAAAATGGTTTTGTTTTGTCTCTTCAAACCCAAAGAGGCTGGGAATGAAGGTTTATTTCAGCAGGAAGCGCTCACCCCTCTCCTCCAGATGTCCTAAATTCTGGCCTGACTCTTATTCTAAAGCCCTGGAAATACACTGGATCCATAGCCGCTGAGCTGACTTTGGTCTTAGACATTTAAATCATGTTGCAAAATAAACGATAACTTTTTGCCTGACCATAACCCTGCTTTTTTTTTTTTTTTTTTGGTTGCACCTCCTGTTTGGAGCGTCCCTTAGGCCTTTGAGGGAAATGCTTCTCAGGCCTGTACATACACAGATACCAAATGCTGGCTTGTCAGGTTTAAAGTGTTTTCTCTTCTTGTGGTGTTTGTATTTTTTACAGGGGTGAAGACATCTTAAGCCAGAGGAATGATTCTCTAGTTCTGGAATTTCAGTCATCAGCCAGCAGATGCAGGAGGTATAACTTTGGGTGTGGGGGCCTCTTCAGAAGCCCAACCACCATCATAAACGACCACCTGCCTGTTCATCTTCCATAAGGCATTCCATGCATCGCCTTAGTCTTTGTTTAGTTGGCCTGGCCTGGCTAAGGGTGGCCTGCATGACATGTGTATAGAGGTCTTTGTCTGATGGGTAGCATCCAAGTGCTACCTTCATATTCTCAGTGTTGTATGTGCTGCAGAGAAGGGAAGTTCAGATGTATGTAATGCAAGACTCGCCCTCCCTCCCTCTCTCCCTCTTCCCCTCCCTTCCTTCCTCCCTCCCTCCCTTCCTTCCTCCTTCCCTCCCTCCCTCCCTCCCTCCCTCCCTCCCTCCCTCCTTCCCTTCCTTTCTTTCTTTGTAAATGCCAGTCAACACTATTCTAAAGCTAGAAGTTGATAATAACTGTTGTTCAAAGCCAACTTCATGCTCCTCTATCATAAATCATGTGTCTTCCATCTTGTCATTGTGTGAAACCCATGGGGTTGTTTACAGAGGCTGGGGGTTCATAGGGCCAGCAGCTACCAGTAACAGCTTCTCTCTTGGCTTGGAAGCCTGGTTCCTGGTTCTGGGAAGGAGTGTGTAGAGGGTCCCCATTGTGCTGTTTGCTGTCACCTCAGCCATGCTCAGAAGATGGCTGGGACATTGGAAGACCGAGCCTCTCTATTGGTAGAGGATTTTTTTATGTAAGGACACTGGTTGGGCTCTCAAGCTTAATAACTTTGGGTAATGTACTAAGAGGATGAATTAAAATGCTAATGGCCTCCTTGCTTGGATATTTTAGCGTTCCCTAATTTTAAATTTAATTAAATGCCTCAGGGGTAGTAGTAGCCTTGCCACAAGCCTGTGTAGTATCACCCCACAGACAGTGACTTTAAAATATGTCCTGGCCACACGGACTGAACTGGCATGAGGAGTACTTTTTTTTTTTTTTAAATCACCGTGTTTTTTTGTGTTCCCTGACTCTACATGACAAAAATATGGCTGTTTAACTTTTAAAATATTATTATTTTCACAAAATTCTTTTGAACCCACAGATCCTTTTATTTTTAACCATATGTTAATAGCGATACCCCGGATTTCAAGACACCTAAATGTCCTAGCACTTTCTTCAGAACTACCGTCACGGCCTCTCGTTTTGACCGTACAGCAATGCCCTAGGAAATCCCTGCCTCATAATGGAGACACCGAGGGGTAAAGAGGTTTGGTGGCTTTTTAAAAAATCTCCTCTCTGGATCATGGAGAATTTTAATTAGTGGGTAGGTGTCTTGGCTCCCAGCTCATCTCTCTGCTCCCTAGACCAACCTAAACAAAATGATGACTAGGTCACTCTCATTCTTTACCTCTGCCAGGAAATGAGGACAGTACCAATTCGTGGGGATGTGTGTTTCCCCGACAGGTAGTGATGTGTGCCTACGCTAGGCCAGGAGGCCAGTGTGTTTCCTTTCATTAGGAAGAGAACACTTTCTCATCACTCGGCCCCTTTATTTTCTCCTTAGGAGGGGAATGGCACACTTTACTTTCCTCTTCATACTTCCAGTTGTTTGGTGTCTGGCCATTTCGTGATTGTATTCGAGCGAATAGATTATTTATTTTCTTCAGCCAGAAGGCCTAGTTCATGACAGTGATTTAATTCAGTTTCCATTCTTCCTTTGCCTCCTGTACCCCTTTCTCCTAGCACGTTTTTTTTTTTTTTCTTTCTCTTATGGTTGGGAGGAGTGATAGTGTCAGATATATCAGAAGGAAGAATTGATTCGGTAGTCGTTTGCCAACTTGACTGATTAGCAGAGATCAGGAGAAGGCTCATAACTGTGAAACCCACGGCAGCATGGGCTTTAACAGCTCTTCGGGGAGCTAGTTAATGATAGAATCACTGCAGAAACACAGACATGCCACACACACACACAATCCCAGCCAGGCGCATTCCCATATAACACTCAGAGGCAGTGTCATGAGAGGAAGTAGGCTCATAATTTCTATTTACACATCGAAGTAATTACCGCGGGCCCGAGCAAGGTGCTCAGTCTGCTGTCAGAGCTGCTTACATAGTTCCTTTCTTGCGGTACCAGGCAGAGGAGTCTAAGTCTGGTTGGAACTTGTCCTATGGATTTTCCCTCTGGGAGAATGTGACTCTCAGGCATGAAGCTCAGTTGGCCTTCCGAGCCAGACTTTGAGCTCATCCGTGTTCCTGTTGTCCTTGCCATTTGTCCTTTAACTAGGTGTCTGTGACTTTGGGCTTGGCTCTTTAATTTGGGGGTTGTTCTCTTCCCTTTCTCCTGGTGCAGCGTCTATGAACCAGATAGGAGTGCATTACGGAGGAAAGAACGAGAAAGAAGAAGCCAGGAAGCGCAGCAGGACAGTGGCGGCTTTAATTCCAGTTACTCCCTCTTCAGTGAACCCTACAAGGTAGATGGTTTTCAGCTGTTCACCTCCCCTGTAGCTGCCAGGAATGTCCTGTGAAGGGGTCGACAGGAAACCCCAGTTAGATTTTGTCTGTTTAGCCAGGGAAGCTAGCCCTGCCACTGTGGTACCCCCACCC